TACCTGTGAGCAAAACTGGAAGCCCAGCTAATAGAACCTTCAAGAATCATTGACATTTAATGCTGAAACTTTCTGCTGAGTCCAGGTGTAACGAGTGGTCATCTTCCGGCTACTTCTTCACCTTCAAGCCGGCTACAACAACATCTCCGAGACGGGATTGGCATCACCATGCGTGGAACCGTGTTAAACTAGAGAAATATTAATAAAATTATACAGGATTTTTGCTTTGCGAAGATTTTTAGTGAAGTCTCAATAAGTTTCCATCCAAAATTGCTATGGAGTGTGCACCTAGAATAGAAGTGTCGGCGCTGAAGAAATAGGCCCATGGCCTATATAACTTGGCAGGGCTTTTTGAGAGGTGCAAATCACCTCAATGAGTTCACTTGATTTGAAGCAGTCTAGTAAATTGGCAGAGTAACCTAACAGTTAACCAAATTGTTATTCTTCATTCGATTGTTTTAATGCCTTTTCACGTTGAAATATTTCAGTATGGCCCAAGATAAACAACAGACAATTGTCAATCAAGGTGTGGATGATGCACCCAATTAGGTATCCAAATGTGGTTAGTGCCCCTACGGGCCCTACGTAAATGTGTGGTTTAGTGCCCACAGGTGAGTGGTTAGTGCCTCCCAACTTCCCAATCCCAAGTGTGGTAATGATGCCCCTATGTGGGACCCTCTGCCCTTGAGTGGGTCTCTCTGTCCTGGAGTGAGACTCTCTGCCCTGGAGTGGGATTCTCTGCCTAGAGTGGGTCAGTGGGATTCCCTGTCCTGGAGTGGGACTCTTTGCTCTGCTCAGGAGTTGGACTCTATGGCCTATGCCCTGGGACTCCCCTCCCTGGCGTGAGTGGCGTCAGTGGCGTGGCCTCCACCTTAGAGGCCCCGCCTGCTCTGTGACCATAGTCACCATACTGCTGTCAAGACTGTCAAGACACCTTAGTCCTTAGTGGCTCCTTACTACCTGAACAGAAAAATTCTGGCAAATTCATAAACCTGTCCTGCCGTGAGGCCACACTAAACAAGTATTCAGAGGGCGAAGATTTATGGTAGCCTCTGACTGACAGAGGCTACCGCCCTACCATAAATCTTCGACAAACTAAAAATTATTCAGAAAAATTGGACCAGTGTGAGTGTTGAGTCCTCTTCTCTTTGATGGTTTGACTTTGACCTCCTAAATCAGAGAAAATGGCTGACCAATCCTGAATTATACAAATTGACAGTAAGCTTGGCGGCCTTGGCCCAAGCTGGAGCAGTTTTGAGCTTGACAGCTTGTTGCTTGTATTCTAATATGATGTTTCAATCAGTAGTATTCATGCACGTTCATTGTGTAAACAATGGTGAATTATGATTTTAGAATGACAGATTTCATGAAAAAACAGAAAAATTACGCATTCCTCACCCTGAAATTAGACTACACTTTTTTATAACATGCAAGGTGGCCCAGTGGTTACAGTTCAGACTTCAGAGCATAGTGGCAAAGCAGAGTTTTGTAGACTTTTCCTCAAGTTTAGTTTTGAGTCCTATAAGTAGACAAGCTAAGTATCATGGATACCACTCATACCAGCATTATCATACATAAGAAATTGGTTTAAATCTTGAGTAAATAAGGAGATTAAAAATGAACTGATTCTAAAAAATCTCTGGTTTGTCACTATGCTTCAGAGTACCAGGATTGGAGCAAAGAGGTGCGGGTTTGATCCCAGCTCTGTGCGCCAGTTTCTGATCAGAACCGACGAGGGGGCTGGGGTGGTCCAGCAAAGCAAATTGAAGCAGTGAGTTGCAAGTTTGAGACCACAACGCAAAAAGCTGTGAATATTCTGCGATGCTAAGAATCGGCAACAGGCCTACGGTACTGCATAATAAACTCTGAAACAGCTATTATTATCCCACTATGAGGCAAGTTTCCAAGTTTTAAGGTAGTGGTTATAGCTGTGAGCCTCCATGCCTTATCACGGGATGCTCATCAACTTATGAGAAGTACTTTGCATAATATTGGCATACAGACGTGTCAGACACTGACAGTGCAAATCTTGCTGGGAGGGAGCGACCTCACAAAACAGGAGCAGCACCTTGTGATCAATGCCGTAATCACCTATCTCACAAGTACCAGCAGGATGGGGACTTTGTGAAGCTAAAGCCCTGCCAAGTTAACTGCACTTGAAACAGTAGATACCAGTGACGACTAAGCAAACTTGCAAAGAAGCGTTGAAACTGCCATGTCCAGGTGTGACAACTGACCTGTTTGGGGTCCTTTACGACATCTGAAAAAGATATCATTGTCGCTCTTATTACGGAGTAATGTCTAGGTAGTAAGTAACTAGGTACTGCCGTACCGGTACGGAAGAAACTTCATGCAAGACAGACGTGCGTGAGTCGCTCGCATGAAACAGACAAGTTGATATCATATCTCCTATTTTGTAGGTCCAATCAACTTAGCCTGGGAAAGGGAAAACGTTGAAAGAAAGCCAATAGTCATTCTGCTCATTCATTATCTGGACCCACTGATGACAACTTTGGTCTTTGATGAGGCCGATTCGGTCCGCTGCCGTCCGCATAGGCATAAATGACCCTCCAAAGTTCAAAGCTACAACTACAAGAAAGTGCGCATACACAACAAAGAAGAAGAAAAGTGCCACTGGGCCAGTAATCATAAAACTGTTGTCTGCTAAGCTGCTTCAGCAGTCGAGTCCAGTGTTTGGCTTATGTTTTTTCCCTTTATTGTAGCTTATCACCTTATCCTTTACTAAATGAAATAAGTTCCCTAATAAGTTCTCATTTATTTGCCTATCAATCAGACAAATTTAATAGATGCCTAAAGTCCTAAACTATTAGCCTGTAAACTGTTACCTAATATTTGTTCCCATATGGCCTCACTCACCATTTTTTTCAGTTTTTGTGGCACAGTAGAACCGTCTGACTTGTCTGTGGCAGCACAGTTCATGCACATGCGCCCTGCATGACTCATGATGACTGCATGTTTTACCAATCTAATACTATATGCATTTATATAACCTACTTTATAAATGTATAATTGGTGCAATCAGCCTAAATGTACATGTTTTACCACTTTGGCATTTAACAGCCCTTCCCTTTCACACTGATTTTTAACTCATTTATGCATATTGAGCCTATTTTAAGAATGGTAGCCTACCTAGTTCCAAGTTTGAAAGTAACTTTGACATCCCTATATTCTATATTCAATGTTTGAATTAATCACCTAATTGCCATAATTGGTGTTTATTAGCATTTTAGAATTGCTAAGTACTAAGTACTTGAAAATTTGAGCTACTATCTAAAATATTCCTTACAAAAGAAAGAATGAAGCAAATTCAAAATTTCAAATTGCTTGTCAAATATTCTTTGATTAACCTTTAAGTAAATCACACCAGACTAACCAAAAACCGTATTCCAACAGTGGGCGCTTGTACGCCCACTGTTGGAATACGGTCACTCTGTGTGGCAGCCATACAACAAAACACTCTGTGCGGAGGTCGAGGATGTTCAAAGAAGGGCGACCAAGCTACTGGCATCACTTAGCAACCTAGACTACCCGGCTCGGCTAGCCGCTCTGCACCTACCAAGTCTCGAACACAGAAGAAAAAGAGGCGATCTCATAGACTGTTACAAATACNCTATAATATAATAATGAAATATATATTATCATAAAATTATATATATGATAATAATAAATATTAATTGCAGGTTTGGCAGCGAGAAATTGAAGCAAGAGTTTCTTGTGCCGAGCATCAGTGGGGAGTTTGTGGCATGCATCGGCGTGAGCGAGCCTCATGCTGGCTCTGATGTTGCAAGTAAGCACATTTAGGCTTTGGAGTTTTACAAATTTTACTTATGATGAATGATCTCTTAAGTATTTGCCTCTGAGTTTTATAGTTTATTTTCATTTAATTAATCAACATTGAGCCACATTCAAAGATTAAGATTTTATTTGAATGTTTCAATTTATTGAGATTTTAATTTAATATATTGAAACATTCTTTTAGTAATGTAAAGAATTATCAACAAAGTAATAATATCACTTGTAAGGCATCAAGACGACAGCAAAGCGTGTTGGTGATGACCTCATCATCAACGGCTCGAAGATGTGGATCACGAACGGCACTCAGGCAGACTGGATGTGCTGCTTAGCCAACACATCCACTGACAAGAAACCACATCTCAACAAGAGCCTCATTTGTCTGCCTCTCAAGACTCCTGGTTTGTCTTCCAAGATTATTTGTCTTGAATTTAATGTAACATTTGGGTGCCAAGCATCTCTCTCTTTTAATTTAATTGATATTACCGTGTTTCAGTTTTTCAACGATAGGTATATCAGTCCAAACGTCAATAAAGTTCTTTTCTTTCACCACTGTTTCCCATTCAACTGTGAAGTTGTTTTACTTGTTCAGCTTTCAACCAATGAATTACGTTGGGTGTAATAGAAATCAATGTAATTTTGAAGATCTAGAAATAATATAAATAAAAATTAAAGTAGATAAAGTATATTAGTAAAATAATGTAAATTTGCCGCAGGCGTACACGTTGCTCGCAAGATCAGCAAGCTGGGCATGCACAGCTCTGACACCGCCGAGCTTTTCTTCGATGACGTGCGGGTGCCTGCAACCTACATCATAGGGGAGGAGGGGCAGGGCTTCACCTATCAGATGATGCAGGTACGTGGCCCACATCATAGGGGAGGAGGGGCGTGGCTTCACCTATCAGATGATGCAGGTACGTGGCTGACCCACATCATAGGGGAGGAGGGGCAGGGCTTCACCTATCAGATGATGCAGGTATGTGTCAGAACTCCTTATATTAAGCTCTACCTGAGGATTGGGTTACGTGACTAAGGTAGTGAGGGATAAGTAAGACACATCAGTCCAGATAACGTATCTTGACCTATCAGATGATGCAGGTACGTGACCCACATCATAGGGGAGGAGGGGCAGGGCTTCACCTATCAGATGATGCAGGTACGTGACCCATATCATAGGGGAGGAGGGGCGTGGCTTCACCTATCAGATGATGCAGGTACTGACCCACATCATAGGGGAGGAGGGGCGTGGCTTCACCTATCAGATGATGCAGGTATGTGTCAGAACTCATTATATTAAACTCTACCTGAGGATTGGGTTACGTGACTAAGGTAGTGAGGGATAAGTAAGACACATCAGTCTAGATAACGTATCTTGTATACGGGGTGGTAATACAGAGCAGTCCAGATAACGTATCTTGTATACGGGGTGGTAATACAGAGTTGCGATACAGAGGCTGTCTCTTATACACATCTAGATGTGTATAAGAGACAGGTAACATACCGTGATGAATGTCTTGTGTTTGGGCGTGCTACTGACGTTTAACATCGGCTGCTCGTCTCGTTACGTGAATTTATTTATATACAATGTCAATTGATATATTTTGGTATGCATAGTCACTGCTGAAATTTATCATGCAATAATGATACAATCGTCAGATTTATTGACCGCATTACAATGTGAGTTAATGGAGAAAGTAAATCGATGATTAATAATAATAAATCTTTAATATAATGCTTTAAGATATTATTATTATAATATATTGTGCTTCTTGCCGTTGGCAGACCTGTACGAGGGGGGAGCAGATGTGCTGGCGCTGGCGTCGATGGCTAAGCTGAAGGGCGGGCGGCTGGGCAGGGAGGTGGCCGACGCCTGCCTCCAGTACTGGGGCGGCATGGGCTACACCGACGAGGTCAGGGGCAGCTATTTAACTTCATTTAATTGAACAAATGCTGCGAGAAGCTAAATTATGACTTCTTTACTTTCATTTGATTCAGCAGAGGCCGTATTTTAAAAATTACTTCATAGTCTTTAACTCAGTGAACCAGTCACTGACGGCTTTCCAAGCTAAGCCCATCAGTGACGGATGAGAAATCAACCTCTAAGTGAACTCAGGCCGCTACGTGAGCTTAGGCAGCCACGTGAGCTTAGGTCGCTACTTTAGCTTAGGTCGCTATTTTAGCTTCGGTCGCTACAACCCCTAAGGGGAGACATCTGACGCGTGTCTGTCCTCGTCAGAAGTCCTATGGGATTTCGCGCTCCTAGGGGGATTGTTCCTGAGCGCCCCACCGCTGAGCTCGCGGTGTCTGACTGCAGGTCTCGGTTATGGGATTAAGTTATTATGTAGGTAGGATTCCTTATACTAAGTTATTATGTAGGTAGGACTCCTTATACTAAGTTATTATGTAGGTAGGATTCCTTACGTTTCCCTTCTCTGTCTCTCTCGTGCGGGCGGCCGACGTCCCTTGTAAGCGACCTCTTGTTCGAATGTCTTCGTTTCTGTTGCTTTTCACCTGTCCCTCCTTGTCACTTCGTCTCTTTGAGATGCTAACGCTGCTTCCTTCGAGCCAGCTTCAGCGGGCTGGACAACTGAGACCTCCCGCCCCTTGTGGGTGATGATTAACTTGAGACTTTGAATAACTGAGACCTTCCGCCTCGCTGGCGATGTTATATTTTGACCTCCGGCGCGAAATAGCTTAATAGCTGAAGCGCTAGCCAACCATCATACTACTACTACTACTACTAAGCCGCTACATGAGCTTGGGTCGCCACGTGAGCTTAGGTCACTACTTTAGCTTAGGCCGCTACGTGAGCTTAGGCCGATATGTGTACTTAGGCCGCTACGTGAACTTAGGCCGCTACTTTAGCTTAGGCCGCCACGTGAGCTTAGGCCGCCACGTGAGCTTAGGTTGCTACTTTTGCTTAGGCCGCTACGTGTGTTTAGGCCGCTACGTGTACTCGAGCGAGTATTGATGGTACGGCCCCTGGTTTTTACCGCCGTATCTTCTGCTAGTTGGACCTGCTACCTAAGCAGTATCTTTCATCAATTTCATAGGTCATAGGTTA